AAATTATCTGGAGATAGGGTTAAATATAGCGGGCAATGCACCTTGTCTCCGGGCCCAGCGTCTTGGAGGCCCCATCCGCTCGGCATCAGAGGCCGGCAGGCCGGCATCCCACGGCAAGGCCCCTACCCAATAGACCCCATTAGCCAGAATCGTTCCCATTCTAGAATCACGTTGTCATCGCATTGGCGCAGATGTTCCGCAAATACGCCTAGTTTCGCACAGATGCATCGCGATCCCAAAGCTGCATATCTAGTTGGAGACAGTGCAGCTCTCTGACCTGCTCGTAGAATAGAGCGCACAGCATTCCGTCATCAGGACGATCAACCGAAATACCGGCAAGAACATGATCCCATTTATCAGTGATGGCTTCGAGTCTTTCCTCCGCGACTCCATACCTGAACCGGTCGAGACTATAACAACCTTCACAAGGTCAATAATCTTGAAGGTGGAATCTCCGGTAACGTGTGATCTCAGGAAATCGTAGAAAAGCCACAGGATCTGCCGGCTAGAGAGCCTTCTGCCAATCGTATGCATTCGCTCGGTTTCGGTCTGTATCTTGTTCTTGAGTGCAATCGACTTGATGCACTCTCTGAATGCAGAATTGCACTCACTCTCGAGCATGCCGTACTTGAGATCCTCATACTTTGTTCCATCCTGGATCTCAACCCACGATAGAGCATATGCGTGATCGTACGCGAAGGCGTTTGCAACACGCTCTTTCATCTCGACAATCCATCTTCTTAGCTGAGCAGGCTCGGGCTCAGGTTCGAGTCGAAATGACTTGCACTTCCTGGCGTGGCTGAGTGATCGTCAACCTTAGGAGCCCCGATGCCAGAATCGTTGGGATTCGGAGGCGCCCCAGTGGCTCGCTCAATGCATACTACACATATGCGCATCGGGTCACGACAGCATTCGTTGCAGCAGCTAAATTTGCAAGCAACGCATAATCTTCGCAGATGAGTGGGAAAGTTTCCCATGCATCGCTCACACTGGAAGGTGTCAGGCCTGCCACTTGGGCGGGTCGAAGGTGGATGGAAGGCACAGGACCAGACGTCCTCGCAGATTCCCTTGGAACCTCGGTCGGCGCAGTCTGACTCGGCCCACCTCTCAAATAAGGGGCGTCGGAGCAACAGTGTGTGTTGCAGTAGAGCTCCCGACAACCGGGAAGGGGGAGGCCCCTTGCATACTCGCTCATCCTTCTGACGATCGTCAACAAGAAGCTCGGACCTGCGGAATATCTCTAGGCAGGGGCAGCATTTCATCCAGGAGGTCAGGAGGAGAGCCATGAGTCCAAGAAGCGATGATGAAGGTAGCGTCGAAGACGCACCCGGGAATAGGGACCCTGGCTGAGGAGGAAGGGTCTCGGGTCTAGGAACCTCTCGATCGTTATCGCTGATGTGCGAGATGGCGTGGACCGTTCAGAACGTTGAGACTTGACCTCGCGGCGAATTTCATCGATCGCGTGCTCGGTCACATCCTTACGATGAGCCTGAATAGTTTCAAGGTTTCGAACCCTTGCAGCAAGATCATCAATGAATGCATCGGTTTTAGTTTTGGGATCGCGCAAGGATCGACTGATCTCGATTCGGATAGACTCAATCCGATGGTTCGCATTTTTGTTCTACTGTGCAAATGCGAGCCTCCCAGTTGGACATTCCAAGGTACAGTTGCTGGAGGCTATCGGGGAATTTCTGAAGCTGGCTGATAGTACGATGAAGACTGGCACTAATCGACCCAGCCCGCTTCTCGTTCAGTTCAAGAATCAACCAGTCGATCATTGATACTACTCTTCAACACTTCGAATCGGTCGTGAAGAGTTCCATGATCGTCGATGCGTCGCTCCTGAGCAAGCTCGTAGTTCTTTCGATTCTCATCGAAGATTCGATCGATCTCCGTGATGAATCGTTCACGAAGACCGTCGATCTTGTTTTCAAAACCCTCAGCAAGATCGGCGACACCCTCTCTGAGGACATCGAGGTCAGGCCGGGTGCTAAGAACACCCTGCGAGATTGCCTGTAGATCGATGGCAATTCGCTGAGCAGCATCGGCACCGATAGCATCCCGCAACATGGGATCATCGGTTGCAAACCCTCGGCCAATATCGAACGCCGGGGCGGGTTGAGCTGGGCCCGGTGTTGTTATCGGAACACCGGGGCCGCATCCATCGCAAAACTGCGGGCCGGTGGCACCGCTGTGGGTCAAGTACCCATCCATGGGTGCCGGAGCCTCAATCGGATGGCTCCGGTCACCTTGCCCGGACTCAAAGAGAGCCCGGATTTCTCCTAAGGGAAAGAGGGAAGACTGGTAGATTTCGGTCGAAGGAGGCATGAATCGCGTAGCGTGAGCAGAAGCAGCAGCGCTAGCAGAAAAGCATGGCAATGCAGGCAAAACACGATCGGCAGCAGAAGCATTCAGCTGCGGATGGTGCGCGTTGCCAGTCATCGCGGCAGCGCAAGGCAGGCAAGGCACTTGTGGCGGCGGGGCACCGCAAAGCTGGCAGGCATGGCAGGCGTGGCGAGGCGGGCTGCGTGAGCACTTTCATCGGGCTCCGCAGCATCCCGGGCAACTGGCGTCACTAGCGAAGAACCGACAGTCGAGGGGACACGCGGAGACCCAATGGGAGTCATCGTCTCTGTGTGGCGCAACTTAGCACAAGTCCGAACGGGGCAGGATATCGGCATCGGATAGATGACCCGAGTCCCAAAGGCGGCAACAGCAAGCAAGAGTGCAAAATCGGAAGCAAGAGCTCCTACGGCTGATAACCTATGAAAAGCAGAGAAATCCACTTAACTCTCGGTCACAAAGCAGTGGTGCTACCAATCTTGCACCCGGCAAGCGAAGCAAGGCCACGCAATGCAGGGTAGAGATCGAAGCAGAGTTTGTTTCCGTTGGTTTGATTACACAGCTAAGAGGCAACGCCTACACTCCCTGGCGAAGGCGGACCTTTTGCTGGACACTGGCACGGCCGGGTTTTGGGCAGTCAAGCTGCAAGTGAAACAAAGTTGACATGAGCCTAGCAAGCGACCAAGGCGCACATGTTCACAAGTCGGTTTCAAATCACAAAAGGTATCGGGCTCATATATATATATATATACCGCTGCATTTTGGCTCACAGCACCAGTCCTGGTGAATGTGCCTAAGGGTCTGCAGCAGAGAACACAGTGCTGTGAACTTTTCAAAAGAGAGGGCCACGGCCAAATCTGTGAAGTCTGCAACTGCAGCCGAAGATGGGCTCTGTATGCAGACGTATGGAAAAAAGGGACACAGAGGCAAGCTATGAAGAGTGGATATTCGCCTCGTGTCCCCGCGCTGCCAGACCCAAGGCTGCAAAAACCGGTGCAAGAGGCGCCGTGTAAACCACAAAAGTGACTGGTGCCGAAGGTGCATCGTGGAATACAGCGAGGTGTACTGGCGGTACTACAGCGACTCCTGAAGAAAAGAGGCACCTGCCGTGATGAAAGACCTCCATGGAGGCATGATCTGAAAAAAGAAGATGGCAATGAAGCCATAAATCTAAAAGGCTACGGCCATGTGGAAGAAAAAACAATGAGGCCATATAAAATCTAAAAGCCGAGTTCTTAAGTCTTCCGACCGGAAACGAGGGGCATGCATGTCAAAAACAGAGACACGACATGCAGTGCTTTCAGGGTTTGGGTTTATAATTGGGCTTTATAGGTTTTATGTTCAAGGTTTGTAATTTATAAGGTTTAAGACTGTAGAACGGCCCCTTATATAACTCAGACTTACCCACTTTTTCTCAGCTTTGCTAACCCCCTTGCAGCTAAACTAAGTTATACTTTTACAATTGTCTGTAAATCGATAGCTAACCTCGATAACTATGGTAACCATTTACAAGCCACCGGTTCTTCCCAGTACTTCACAAAGAAAGCACATCCTCAGATTTCTTGTAAGTGTACACCTTGTCGGTTACTGGGTCGGGAAGTGTTTAGCCCTCGAATCTTGCAAGCTCGACGATGGCCCTCATTGGCCTCACGCCCGTAGAACCACAAGTCGTTGAGCTTGCTGAGAGTGCTGCTGCCTCAGCGATCCCCCCCGCACACCGCATCGCAACTGCCTCTGACGCGCTCTCAGGGCCCGGGCCATCATCCCCACCGAACACGTAGAAGCCGTTCGCAGCGGGGCTCCACACCACGGTGTGGTGTTCCCTCGCGGGTGGCGCCGTGCCGCTCGGGCTGAGCTGTTCCCAGCTGTTCACCTGCGAGATATGTCTGATGCTGAGTATCTCTTCGTGGACAGTTGTGTGTAGATTGAATCGAAACATGGAAGCTGGCCCAAGGAGAACGCCCCCTGGTGCTGGGATGTTCCAGTACTTCACCAAAAAAACGCATCCTCCGCATTTCTTGTAAGTCTACACCTTGTCACCTACTGTACCGGTTCGGGAAGTGTTTAGCACTCGAATTTTGCATTGCATGAGCCAAGACGAGCCAAAAGCTCACGATGGCCCTCACTGGCCTCACGCCCGTAGAACCACAAGTCGTTGAGATTGCTGCTGCCTCAGTGATCCCCCCACGCACACTACACCGCATCGCAGCCTGCTGACGCGCTGCCCCTGACGCGCTCTCAGGGCCCCGGCCAGCACCCTCCCCACCGAACACGTAGAAGCCGTTCGCAGCCGGGCTCCACACCCCACCGTCTACAATGCGATACCGTGCAGGTGGCGCCGCGCCACTCGGGCTGAGCTGTTCCCAGTAGTTTGCCTGCACCGCACATGTGTGACGCTCTGCTCAGGTGAAGCATCGAACTTCTTCTGGCACCGTTGGATAGAGAGAAGCTGTTGACCTTTGCCCCTGCTCTGTCTCGACATCTTTCCCTGCTACACGCGGCCTCAACCAGCTGGGCCAGTATCGCGACCAGCCAAACCAGCTTCACCTGGTCCAACGACTCGCCATGGTAAGTGCAGGGGCACAGAAACACGGGCGATCCCGAAGTGCTACGCCGCTATGCCTTCGCAAATGCACGTGGACACCACAACTGCTACGGTAGCAGACACAGGGCAAGGCCTGAGCCACCTTGTAAACTTGAAGTAGGGTACAAAAGCTTTTTTGGGTTATTGCCAAAAGCTTGCAAGGAGTTCCTGGGCATGGCGCAGAGCAACAGCACAATCGGAAGTAGCCATGTTGTAAGACTTCGAACAAGAAGCTGGGTGTAATAAGCTTGGGCATCGTCCAATTTGGGGGGTCTGCCGGCAGAAGCAGAGTGACTCTCTAGCCGATTGCGCCTCCACATGCCGGCCGCCAGGCTCAGAGGACATCGGTGATTCTGGTTCGATTCCTTCACATTAAAGACTTCGAAACCTTGAGACAGCGATGTTGCGCGGCAACAAGTGACATGCAGCAGCCCATGCGTGCAGGACGCTTCCTAGTCTCACGTCCAAAGGTGGCAGCCCGGTTATGACATCGAATTTCGGCAATTAAACTGTTGCGTAGAGCCTTGCGGGGGCCTCTAATTGAAGACACTTGTTACGCAGAGCCTTTCGGGGACCCCCTACGTATGGGCCGCGGCTTCCATCACAACAAAAGTCTCAAACTGAAGCTACCATGTCTAACAAATGCCTTCTACGTAAGCCTTTGTTTTGAAGACAGTCGGCGGGGCCTTGTAAATTTCCCTTTGCTCCAGGCTCTAGCATCCGAGACTCCAGACCTCCTCACGCCGTTGGCTCCACGACCAGTGCTTCACGCACTCGTCGATGATACAGGACCGAAAAATCAAATCCCCGAGGGGCTGTTATAGTCGCCCGTTTAGGTTGCCAGAACGCAACATCACGTTGCAAACTCAAAAAGGCAGCGGTTGCCTCAAGACTATGTCTTAGGACGGTCTCAGGGCATTTCTGAGCGTGGCTAAGTCAATCTTCGGAAGGCAAACAGGCTCTGTACGCGAGGATACCTTCATTACCAAAACTCCGCAAGCCCTAAGTGTCCTGTGTTTCAATTGAAACTCTGGCCCGTGCAAGCTTGGTTCACACGTGCGCAGAGCACCAGTTGTTCTTGCTGGCTGGCGTGCATCCAACTGAATTACTGCGGGAGCCGGGACTGCGTACAAACGCAGCGAGGCACGTACAGGTCAGAAAAGAATGTCTTCGGCGCGATATTCCTAAAACATTTCAATCCAACAGCAGATGCGACGGTTGCTGTCCTCAAAAATGGGGACTCCAATACAACCCATAGAGTGAAAATTCCGATTAATTACAGGTCCCTGGACTACAAAGTCTAAGTTTAAAGCTCAAACAAGTTGGTAGCATCTGCTGTTCTGCTTTGTTCCATGACGCCTTTGGGCGACGCCCGGGTGTCGCCAAGTCAATGTTCGTAAAGCAAATCGGCTCCGCACTTGAACATATCTCCCACAACTTCACCAACAACCGAGGCCCTGGTGCTCAAATGGCTCAATTCAACATGTGTCTCTCAAAAATGTCCGATCACGTGAGTTTTCACGGGGTGCGAATCCAATCGACACGCCATCCTTAATTGCATGTCTACTTTATTAAAAGGAAAACAAACAGCTGTGTACAAGATAGCACGACATAGGGACAACATCGTCCGTGCCGTCTAGTCGAACCTGGATGTCTGCATTATCGCTTTCCATGCTCTTGGCCAACGATGAATCTGATGTTGTCGTTGCTGCTTCCACGGCGTCCTCAAAGACGGTTCCGTAGTGCCAACCATGTAGTCCTCGAAAGACACGAACACGGCTGCCTGTCTCGTAGAAGCGGCGAATTCTTCCCAGGTCCACATTGATTGTGTCGCCTGAGCTAAGGGTCACCGCATAAGGATCGACAGTCGTCATGGCAACAGGAGGGATCTTGTGTATGTGGCCGGACTTCCAAGACCACGTCCGGCTTGCTCTGCTTCTCCGCCCGCGAGTCACCTCCTCTACCTGGGGACCCGAAAAATGCACCAAGCGCACAGATTTTCCCAGATCAGGTTCCATTCAAGATATCTTATATCGCCATAGACTCCTTGAAAGCTAAGCTGTAATGATATGAGTTGCTACTACCCCAAACCCAAATGCCGAATGAAGGTTTGGTTCCAAAGAGTCTTAGAGCTTTCGGCTCGTGAATCCACGTGATATGAGTGTGACTGGTCGGTGGCCCAAATCCTGCAAGAACCGTTAAAGGTGAACGCTTGTAAACCCGACCCAAGCCCCCAGACGCCGATAAATTACCCTAAACCCAAAACCCTGAGCCCTGCAAGCCTTACATCCTAAATCCTATAAGCCCTAACCAAGGTACATGGACGTGAACGGATTCCCCACATCGCAATCTCTGTCGGAGCTGGCTAAGGGGAACCCGATGTCGCAGCTGCTTCGGACCCGGTAGGATGCAGTCGTAGTGAGGAAGCTCGCCTGTGGGAAGAACATCCTGGGCTCTGGCTGAGGAACTTACCACTAGTTTCAGCTACTCAACAACACAGCATTTACTGAAGGTTCCTAGCATGCTAACATAAGATAGCTTCCTAAGCAAAGAACCCAGGCTCGCGATCAATCTGCTCTTCTGAGTTCATCCATGCGGGGTCCCCCTGGATCCGTGCCAGCAGCCAACATTGATTCGTGATCGAAAAGTAGAGAACAGCTTCTCCGTTCCTGTAGAAGGATGGCCTGGCCGCCTTTTGAGGATCTTCGGCCACTTGCAGAGAATCCACTGGCACGGGTGCATCTACCTCGACCAAGAACTCCAGTCGCTCAGCCTCTTCCATGGCTGCCGTCTCTGCACGCTTCAGCGTGGCAAGCAAATCTGGTGCATCTTTGGGGGCGTCTGTAGAGGCGGGCCCCGGCCGCCCCCGCCCCACTTCTGCAGCCTGCGTTGCGTGGTGTTGCTTCAAGTCGCCCGTCCACCCCTCCAAGTCGTGGAGTCGGGTCTTCCAATCATTCGCCTGGATGTTCCACTCAATGTGGACCTTGCTGGCGGCTGAAGCCGAAGCCTCGGACCGAAATGCCTGGAAGCTCAAAGATTTCGTGGAGATCGACTTCATGGGCTCGTCTGGTTCATGATCAGCACTTCTTGTGGAGCGCGAATATGTAACAACGAAGGTCTGATCTCCCTTACCCTGGATTTGCACAGAGCCCCCACGTGCCGGTTTGCATCGATAGTACCAAAGGAGGAACAGCACGCCACCACCTGCGAAGAGGCTGGCACAAGCAAGAGCTATGGATGTCAACTCGAAGCTGGTGTCTTGCTCGGCGATGAGACCTTCAAACGGAACCACGTGCACGATGGCGAGCATCGACAGATGGGTGCTTTGACACCACCTCAAGTCATTCACGGAAATCGCCTGCAGTCCCACGGAACTCCAGGCGCGTGAAGTGTGATCGAAAAAAGCGCAAACATCCCGTGGCTGCTGTGAGGCATCGCTCAGTCTGACAAGAATAGGTTCTGCCAAATCCGAAACAGTGGCCACGGATACTTTGCCTTGAGCTTCCAGCAGGATTGAGATCTCGACGACTGGAGAGTTCAACACAACCTGGCTGCTGCCCTCGCCGTTGCTGGGCATGGTCTCGGACACATCCGGCAAGACCTCCGT